AAGTAAAATGGATAGCCCTTAATTAAACTTATAGCATGCCAACAAGTGTAATCACGAAAAACGGATACAGTACGAGAACGAAATAGACGTCTCCTCTATAGGTCATGGCCAGTATTATAAACCTCCCATTGGCAAGCACAGTAGTAACCAATGTTTTATCCCATTGGCAAGATTATAGAATGAACCAGTCCTATCAGTAAATATGTCAACATGTGCTAGCGTTTATAAACCTCCCACTAGCGGGCACAGTAAAACATGACCATATCGGAGACAAAACAGGCAAAAGTTAACAAGAAAATCATAATTCACAATCAATCTCAAATTTTAGAAATAAACCGAAAAATTTTCACACGAGCATGGATTTAATAGAAAAATCAAAATTTACAAAATTCTCAGTTCATTAGGGCAGTTCAGTCAATTCCAAGTAGGCATGCTTAAATCAATAAAAATAAAAATAATCTTATTTCAAATCAATCATGCTTATTTTTGTATAAAACGGGTTTAGTCCCGCTACCACTTCAAAAACAAGTTAAAATATACTTTTAAAATCGAAGGGCGTTATCATAATTTACTTACCTCACTTGCATAAAACCGAAGACTCGATCTCAATGCTAAACTGACAGAACGATCAAGAACCTAATCAAAATACTCCAGAATTAATTATCGTACCACAAATTCAAAAGTAAAATCACCATGACTATCCCCTAATCACGATGCTATTTCTATCAATCTCCATATGACTAGACATCTCCAAATTTGTTCTTATATTACAAATTAAACATCTAATCCCCGTTAATTGTTGGCCATCAGTGCGTGAACAGTATCTGTGAACAGTGCCCGTAAACAGTGCCCACGCCGTGAACAGTATTGCACTTCCAAAAATTTGCAAAACCATAGTTAATCTCACGGGATTTTCTCCAAAATCTCACAGCAGTCAATTAACACTCAATCACATAAATTTCACTTGAATTAATGCTTAAATTTGTCCTAAAGCTACCGGAATTCATCCCCTATTTACTGCGGAATTCGGACAGCACATGGGGCAATAATTCATGGACAAACTCAGCAGCTAATGGATAATTTTTAGGCTCAGAGGGGCTGTCACATACCAGAACCCAGCAAGCAAGGCCGGAGCTGCAAGCTAGGGAAGCCGGCGGCAGTGCAGGGGAAAATCTACGGAAATTGGAGAACCAAAAGCACAAATTAGAGTAACCCAAGTTAATTAAGGGCTAAAAGGAGGAGACCCATGGCTGTTCTTACCGAAAAATCAGGGAAATTCGCACCCACAAGCAAGGGCAGCCGACGGAAGGACAGAGCAAAGCAGAGCAGATCCGAATTTCTGCAGAGAGGGGGGGGGATTCCAAGCTTAAATCTGGTTCTTGAACAAGAAAAGGAAGAGAAATCCCTAAGCTTTTTACCATTTTCCTCAAGAAAATTGTTGCCGGCAGCTTGGGGGGCTTTCGGGAGCTGCAGGGGACGGGAAAGAAGAACAAAAAGAGCAGAATCGGGCGGCCGAAGAAAGAAAGAAAGAAGAAAAGAAATCAGCCATCCTTATCCAAAATTTCCCTCTTTAAGTCCCTGAACTTTGAAATTTTGGCTATTATGCTCCAAAACAATATTTTCTCTCACAAAAACCCTTACTTAAATGCTAAAATATCACAAAATTTTGGGATATTACATAATGCCTCAAATATGCTCTATAAATAACAATCTCAATCAGGTAATTTTAATATATACATCCAAAATAAATACATGCCTTATTATTACTAACAAAATTATGAAGTTTAGTGAAAAAAATCATTAATAACAACCATTAGTTTGATTCCCCTCCTTAGAAAGAATGAAAAATTAAATTATAATCATTATTATGAATATGGTTATAGAAATGAAATTATACAAAAATGAAAAGATTTACATAATAAGTTAACAAAAATTTGAGAATTCTTATTATAGATATGATATAAATAAACATTAATCACATATTTTTAGCATATTTAATCAATTCATGTACTTACCATATATTTTCAAGCATTTGCTTGATTTACAATAAAAGGGAAAATATGCAAAAACAAATTTTGTGGAGAACAGTTATATGTACATGTACTTTTGATAGACAATTTGATTTTAAACTTGAATATTCGCATTGCTATTTTGAAAACATTAAAGAAAGATAGCTTAAATATTTGAGAAATCAAAAATACATTCTAATGTGTAAATTATGAATTAAAAAGAAAATATTTTTAATATCAAGTTTTCAATTTGCTTCTAATAAGTAGATGAGATGCGTAAATATATTTTTGACATAAACATGAGTATTTCTATATTAATCTTTTTATATAATTAATCTTATATAATGTCTTCCAATACATGAATTTGATCAAGTATGAATGGAGAAATATTTTGAAAAAATGAATCTCAATTATTAGTGATGAAATTAGTGACGAAGTGCCGAAATTGTGTAGGGGTTCTACCATACAATAAAACTATAATAAGAGTAACAACCTGTTACTTCAGCTAGAAGGAGTTCAGGGTGAAGCAATTCAAAAACGCCAAACTTATTTCTTTCTTCCCCCGTTCTCGGCCTCTCTCCTACTCTCCCCACCCCCCTCCCAATTGCCGCCTCTCCGTTTCTCCTGTGTTCTCTGTTTCCAGTCCTTGCAGTCCACACCATTCGACGGTGTAAATAGCAAGAAGGTGCAAGATCTCACGTACCAGCATCACAGTAAACGCCCATGAATTTGTCCCCCTTCACTGCTCGGTACAAATCAGGGGCAAGAACAGGCCCTTCCCACCAAGCAAGAGGAACCCGGCAACTGCTCTGAGGTTCTCTTTGTCTGTTTTATCTGTTTTCTTTGTCTTTTGCCATCAAATTAATGGCGACGATTGAAGGGGGAGATTTGAACGGTTTAGATGGACCAAGGTTAAAAAAAAAATTAGAGTTTCTTGATTAAAATTTTACTCTTAAATTTTCTATTATATTTACAATTCAAACTTTTCATAATAATTGTTGTTTTATGGTACCAAATTGTAAAATAAAAAAATATTTATATGAGATAATTTAAAGTATAAAATAATTTTTTATTTCATAATTATTAAAAAGAGTATTATATTTACCAAGGTCCGTGTTAAGACTGATTTAATTTTTGTTTCATACTTCTTTATTGAACAAGAGGTTTACAATAACATTTAATCAAATTATATTCTGATGAATTGGACAAAGCATGGTTAAGGTCTAATTCTCTATTAAACTTGAGAACAAATTTATTTTTTTTCAATATCCTTCAGAGTAGATATATGCTCTGCTTTGATTCTATATTTAAATGAGACAATTAAATTCAATTAGATTCTTCCTCCTTACTAAATTCATCCTTATTTCATCCTTATTTCATCCATAGTGATTCTTATTGTCCAGTAGGATAAGGTCATCCTTGTTATTAGCATTCTCAGGACTTAAAAATTCATTTTCAGGGATATCAAATAACTTATACTTGGTAGGTTTCTAGAGAAAAATATCACAATTGTGGGAGGAGAACAGAATATCTTCATGTGTTTTGATAATGAAGATATCAATTCCGACAAAGTGACATTTAGCATGACCATGCATTATTGTCTTAAAAGTCGAAACGTCCATTACCTTAGCACGACCTTTGATGACAATGTCACCATTTTTATGAATGATAACAACCTTGAGAGGATTTGTCTTCAAAGCGCTAGAGCTAGCCTTGAATTCAAAATGGTGCTCCGATTCTCACATCATCAGCAGGTGGTTTTAACTCAAAAAAAATGATAAACAAAGAGAATTGGGCGCAATTGATTACATTGTGATTTTATTCGAAAAAGATGAAAAACAAAAATAATGAGGGTATCTGGTACTTGTTTAATGTATGACTTTTGTGTTGACAAGTAATTTTCTTTTAATTATCTTAGTTTCCTCCAACTTCTTAAATTTTCTTAGTTGTAATCGTAACATATGGTTTGCAGCATGTTACTTCTAAAATTACATAGAGATTAAAGAATAATATTTTTCAGCTTAAAAATGAAAGAACGACAAGATTTATATGTTCACCTTTTTACCTAATTTGTGTGATTCATAAGAATTAGTGCTAAAACCAAATTTCTCTCATTTCCTACCTTCAATACTCTTTCCATGACCTTATCTGTATCAATAGCCTACCTTCCATACTCTTTCCATGACCTTATCTGTATCAATTGTCATCATGTTTGGGCCGATTTACATGTCAGCATGTAAAATACTATATTTTGGTATTATCAAGTTGGCTGAATGGAAGTCCACCATCAAAGCTAATCAGCGAGCATGCGTATTATCTCTCGGGGGCTTTAATACATGTAAAAGGAAAGAATAGTGATAGGCGGGACGACGTCGGGGGACGAAATTGCGGGCCGGTAAGTATTAAGAGGGGATAAATTAGTAATTACATCGTTTACATAAATCTCTTTTATGCTTGTCGGCCCTCAATTTCGTCCTCCAGCGTCGTCCCGCCTACCATTACTCAAAAGGAAAAGGACGACTGCATTAATATTTAACTAGTTAGCTACTTTGACCCTGTCACTGATATGAATAAATTTTGTATTGCATGATTGCAGAATATAACATTTTTTTGGGGGGTGGGGGGTGTAAATTAGGAGTATAACTTAATGGTTAGAAGTTTAGTTCTTTTCTTATATTTCATAGGGATAATTCTTATAAAAAATAGTGTTACGTAGTCAAAACTTTACTGAATTATATAATACTTATTATTGATGGGGTGAGACTCTAATATTGGGGGCTGTTTCCCCACTCATTAAAGTCAAAAGTGTACTTGCCAAAATTCCTTTACAGAAGCTAGAATTTACAAGCATACGTAAATTTTGCTTCTAGAAAAGCCAGAATTGCTTTCCAAAATAACCCAATTTGCTGTATTGAAGTTTCTGCAATGAGAAGCTGTTCTAAGAACTAAGACAAATGAAATAAGTATTTAAGGTTCTCAAACGCCTTGGTGGTATGCATTATAAATTTATAATTGCAAATAGATAGGAATAACTCAAGCAGTAGAGTGCATCAGGACGATTCCATTAATATAATTATCTCAAAGCCAAATGAAACTTACTGTATAACATTAGATACGGCGTGGATTTAGTTAATCATTTTCTCAGCAATTTCACTTTCTTGTTGAAGAGTATCATACAAAGTCTCGACAACATTCAACAGGAATGAATCCGAACCATGTCTGGCCAGTAAAGAGATTGACACAGGAAGGTTATTGTGCATACCTAAAGGTATGCTCACCTGTAAATAGGATCAATGTGTTAAAACTTACTCAACACAAGGAAGAAAAATGTAAGATTTTTGAGTCTTGGGGAGACAGGGAAAACCTGACAGAATCCGGATACTCCTGCAATTGACAAAAAGCTGTAAGCTTGCACTCCAAAATCTTCCAGTGTTGTTGGATCTGTTAGTAGTTTGGGAGGAGCCCCAGGAATTGTGGGAAGGGCGAGGATGCCAGAATCCTAACATATATGTTTCATTTCAGCATAGAAAATAAACATTGGCACTGTAAGTTT